ATCTCTCTCAAGTTCAAAGTTTCATAGAATCTCTAGGGCAGGGGCAAAATGCCACCAGTCTCTTTGCTAAACTATAGCAAGAGCCACCTTTATTCCAATTCCCAACAAGTTCCTCATCTCTATCTGAGACCACCTCAGCCTGGACTTCATTGTCAATATCACTATCAGCATTTTGGTCAAAATCATTCAACAAGTCTCTCAGAAGTTTCAAACTTTCCCACATCTTTCTGTCTTCTGAGCCCTCAGTCTCTAGGAAGTTCCAGACTTTTCCACATTTTCCTGTCTTCTTCTGAGCCCTCCAAACTGTTCCAGCCTCTGCCTGTTATCCAGTTCCAAAGTTGCTTCCACATTTTTGGTTATCCTTATAGCAGCACCCTACACTCTGCAGTATGAATTTAGTGTATTAGTCTGTTCTCATGCTGCTGTGAAGAAATACCCAGGACTGGGTAATTTATAAAGAAAAGAGGTTTAATTGACTCAGTTCTGCATGGCTGGGGAGGCCTCAGGAAACTTATAATCATGGTGGAAGGGGAAGCAAACACGTCCTTCTTCATCTGGCAGCAGGTGAGATAAGTGCTGAGCAAAGGGGAGAAAGCTCCTTATAAAACCTTCAGATCTCATGGGAACTCACTATCATGAGAACACCATGGGGGTAACCACCCCCAGATTCAGTTACCTCACACCGGGTCCCTCCCCCAGCATGTGGGGATTAGATTTGAGATTACAGTTCAAGATGATACTTGGATGGGGACAGAGAGCCAGACCATATTAGTGGGGAGGTGGGGGGAAACTTCTCTCTTCTGTTTATTTATATAGGATGATTGAGGATGGCCTTTCTGAGAAGATAACATTTGGGCAGAGAACAGATGGAAATGAGGAAGCAATCCTGAGATATTCTGGGTAGAAGGGGTTTGAGGAGGGGAAGAATAGTCCAGAAATATGATGCAAAAAGTATAAAGGTGCTGAGGCGGGAGCCAGCTTAGTAAGTTGAAGGAATTGCAGAGAGACTTATATGGTTGCAGTGGATGGATGGGATGGGGAGAAGCAGAGAGAGTGGTGGACGTTGAGATCGGCAGAGGCTCTAATAAAGGGTTTGGATTTTATTTTGATCTGGGATGCTTTTGGAGAGTTTAGAGCAGAGGAGTAACTGAGGCTCAAAAACTTAAACTTTTCTTTTGGAATGTGAAGTTAATACCCAAACCATTTCCAGTAATTCTTTCATTTCCATACATTTGGGTAAAGTGGAAAAAGTCTGTGTTTCTTGCAATCATGTTTTGAGTAACATGCCCCTAGCTTAGAAGTTAGAGAGTTGCAGCAAGTTACTGAGGAAGGGAAGAGCTGGTATTTATAGGTAGAAGGGATAGAAGACCAATAGAGAACTTTTGGAGGCAATACTTGTTTAGCATTTTATAGAATTCAATTATATTTTTCTGACTTAAAGTTAGACATAAATCTTTATAAACTTGAGTGTTGTGAGAATGCCTTCCTTTCTTTAATTTCTACAAAAATTTATATCTGAAAATGTTAGAGTATAAAACTTTGCCTTAATCTTAAGTTCCTAGTGGTAATCAAACCAAAAGATGTTTTACTCACCAAATGAGACTCTGATGTGTTCTTCGGTTAAATGCATATGATGACATTGAAATTGATGAAGACTCAGACAATCTGAACATCAAGGGGAGTTTCACTTTCTTTGCTAGTATTCTGAAATTTTGGAAAGTCAAGATGTTAATGATGAAAATGAAAGGGGAGAATATAATTGCAGAGGTAGATTGTCCAGAGTTCTTGGACAGTAGGTAGATTGACATTTGGAAAATACTTCATTGTACTGGTTCATGAAAAGCATATATTTCCTGTTGATTCATAATGATTTGGGAGATATTTTAGTTGTTTCTTTGAGAGCTTATAAACTTTTTTATTTCTTATGTGAGAAACAAAAATAATGAGTTGTTCTTCCTTTTCTCTTTTCCTTACTGTCTTCAATTCTTCTTAGTCATGGAATGGATAAATTTGGCAAAGCTTGTAGCAGAGTTTCGGTTTTAAGAAAAGGTGATGGCTGAAGTTCACTGAGCAGAATTCTCATGTGCACCTTATAATGGTGGCATCCCTTAGAAATGATAATGTGGTTTTGAAACTACTTAGTGGTTGTCAGGGCTGGGGGAAGAGGTTGGGGAGGAGAGTTGACTACAAGAGAGCATGGTGTCACATTTGCGTTATCATTATATGGTGTTAAATGTATCCACAGTATGCGTTTAAGATTCCTTCAGTGTCTTCTCATGGCTTGTTAGCTCATTTCTTTTTGTCTCTGAATAACATTCCATTGAATGGATGTGCCACAGTTGATTTATTCACTCATCTGCTGAAGAATGACATCTTAGATGCTTTTGAGTTTTGGCAGAAAGTATGATAAAGCTGCTGTAAACATCAATTTGTAGTTTTTTTTATGTGGATGTAAGTTTTCAACTCATTTGGGTAAATATAAGGAATGGATTGCTCAATCATATGGTAACAATATGTTTAGTTTTGTTAGAAACTGCCAAACTGTCTTCCAGAGTGCCTTGTACCATTTTGGATTTCCATCAACAGTGAATGAGAGAGTTCCTTTTGCTTTATGTCTTCACCAGCATTTGGTTTGGGTCAGTGTTCTGGATTTTGGCCATTGTGATAAGGCATGCAGTGGTATCTCATTGTTGTTTTCATTTGCAATTGCTTAATCACACAGTGATATTGAGCATCTTCTCATATTCTTATTTATCATCCTGTATCTTTGGTGAAGTGTCTGTTTAGATGTTTTGCTTATTTTTTAATTGGGCTCTTTTCTTTTCTTTCTTTCTTTTTTTTTTTTTTTCTTTTTGAAATGGAGTCTCCTTCTGTTGCCCAGGCTGGAGTGCACTGGTGTGATCTCTGCTCGCTGCAATCTCTGCCTCTTAGGTTCAAGTGATACTCCTGCCTTAACCTCCTGAGTAGTTGGGATTACAGGCATGCACCACTATACCTGGCTAATTTTTTTTGTATTTTTAGTAGAGATGGGGTTTCACCATGTTGCTCAGGCTGGTCTTGAATTCCTGACCTCGTGATCCACCTGCGCCTGGCCTCTTTTTTTTTTTTTTTTTTTTTTTGAGATGGAGTCTCACTCTGTCACCCAGGCTGGAGTACAATGGCACCATCTCAGCTCACCACAACTTCCACCTCCTGGGTTCAAGTGATTCTCCTGCCTCAACCTGCTGAGTAGCTGGGATTACAGGCGCATGCCACCATGCCTGGCTAATTTTTGTATTTTTAGTAGAGATGGGGTTTCACCATGTTGGTCAGGCTGGTCTCAAACTCCTAACCTCATGATCTGCCCACCTCAGCCTCCCAAAGTGATGGGATTACAAGTGTGAGCCACTGCACCTGGCCGGGCTGTTTATTTTCTTGTTGAGTTTTAAGAGTTCTTTGTGTATTTTGGATAACATTCCTTTATCAGATAGGTCTTTTGTAAATATTTTCTCCCAGTTTGTGGCTTGTCATTTTATTTTCTTAACATTGCCTTTCACAGAGGAGTTTTTAATTTTAATGAAGCTCTGTGTATCAATTATTTCTTCCATGGATCATGCTTTTGGTGTTGTAGTTAAAAAGTCATTGCTGTACTCAAGATTACTTAGATTTTCTCCTATGTTATCTTGTTGGAGTTTTGTAGTTTTGCATTTGACGTTAAGGTCTGTGATCCATTTTGAGTTTATTTTTGTGACTAGAGTAATATCTGTGCATAGATTCATTTTTTTGCATATGGATGTCCAGTTGTTCCAGCACCATTTGTTGAAAACTCTTTTTTGTCCATTTTACTACTTTTGCTCCTTTGTCAAATATCAGTTGATTGTATTTATGTGGGTCTATTTCTGGATTCTCTATTAAGTTCTCTAGTTGCCTAATCTTTCACCAATATCATACTGTCTTGATTACTTTAGCTTTGTAGTGTTCTCATTGCTTTTGAGGAGAGGCTCTTTGAAGAGACTTACTCTGCCATACCTCTTGATGTCATTTTCTGTTATGTTTCTTAAAATACTGTAAAATGTCGCATTGGTAAGTTATCATTTTTCAAAAAGGAGAAACTGAGACGCAAGATATAAAATGAGTTCATGAAATTTATTTTTTCAGCTATTGTTCTAAATAGGAGCAAGGCTCATCTCTTTTGTTGTTTGTTATGTTTTCAGGTGAAAAAAGTTGATTTTTTTCATAGCTTTGTTATTTTAAAAGTTAATATATGGGACAAACTGTCAGTGATAACCTCTCAATTAATTTAGCTATCATCAGCAATCTCTTCTTTATCTTCCTTCTTTAAATACAACTCTTGGCTTCCTCTCCTACCCATTGGAACTGCTTCCTTTTAAACCCAAATAAAGAAACTATAGCAAAGCTCTGAAAATAATACATTGAAATTGAGAAAAGTTGGCAGTAAAATTTTCTTTCTCTGAAAATTGTTTTTTATTGTATAATTGAAACTTTTATTAGTATTGCTGAATGTGAATGCTGAAAGGAAATAAATCAAGAAGGTGATCTGCACTAGCAAGAATGTTGACTTTAGCAGCTGGAAGGCAAATAAGTGAGAGTAGTATAGTATACTGCATGGGAGATTGGATGAGACCGTGAAACAGAAAGTCTGGGCTATACTCCCTATCTGCCTTGAAAAAAGTGATACAATTTTAGCATTTCTCTGCCCCAACACCTTTGTGTAGGAATTTTTGTGCTCTTGAATTACATGTCCTCTGAGGTCTTTTCTAATTGCATTTTACTCAGTTGAAAGGGCTTTTTATACCTTGTAATGAAAATTAGAAATGTTTTATTCACCATATGACTGTTCCTTTTGGAGTAAGCTACTATGACAACTCTAGATTCTAATAAAGCCACAATGGGTGATTTAAGGAAAGATGTGCATTTATCTGTTTTTTTCAAAAAATACTATTGTGTCTCTTATTGAACATGACGTTGTGATTTTAATATCCTCTTATGCTTTGTTTTAGGTTGGTACAGAGGAGTTTCAACAAAGAAGCCAAATGTGAAGGTAATGAAAAGTTTATTGTTACCTTTTCTAATGTAGGAAGGAAATACCTTGTACGTTTGTTTGGTATAACAACTCTTAGTGGTTCATCTTTTAATCTTTTACAATAGCCACAATGATTCTTTCCTTTACAAAACTGCAGAAAACTCTTCTTTGTCTCAGCATATTAAAATGTTTCTTCTAAAAGTACAGGAAATGCAAATATGGTAATAGCTCCAAAGCTTATCTTGAAAAAGCCTATTCAGGCTTTTAAATATTTTTTCCTTAAGGTATTTGACAAAAAGTAAATTGACTTATTCACAGGCCTAGTCCTGTGGAACCATATAATTAGATGAATTGTTTTTAAAATGCACAATGGAAAATATTTTCAAATAATCCAATTAGATATTTCTCTAATCATAATTTATTGAAATATGAATTTAAGCAAGGTATTAGTGTAGAATACTAATTTTATGTACTAGATTTTATATTTATTACAATTAATATTGATGAAACATAATATAGTTTAATTAGCAGTTATAATGCAGTTAGAAATAATCTTTCCCAGTAATGTATTTGCAGACACTTCTTTCTGCATATGTTTTCATGTAATTAATATTATCAGTTTTTCTTGTATGTTTCTGTAGCTTATTTGATGCAATATGTTTTTCTTTGTATAGAAAAATACCAAAATTATCACGTTTTCATTCAAAAAGAAAATTGTTTAGAGTTCTAATAATCAGTTTTGCTAGTAGAATCATTCAGTTTGATTAATTTTAAGGTAATGATTATAAGGAAACAATATCTTTATATTTTAATGCCTCCTAGCTGTGGTTTCTCATTCTTGGCACTGTTGACATTTTGGGCCAGGTAATTCTTTATTGTGGGAGACAGTCTTGTGCAATGTGAGATGTTTAGCAGAGTATATGGCTTCTACCTACTAGATGCCAGCAACTCTCTGTCCCTTAGTATGACAGCAAAAGAGGACTTCAGACATTGCTGAATTTGTCTTGGGGACAAAATGGCCCCTGGTTGAGAAGCACTGCTTATAGGTAATTTTTCTTATATTTCTATTTTGAAATACATTCATGAATGCTTCTGTGGGAATAGTTTCTACTTGTGGTTTATTTTTTAAATTTTGATTTAAAATTGTTGAAAAGTTAGAACTGGAATAAATGAGGAATCTTATAAATGAATATTTGTAATTTGTGATATTGCATGCTATTGATTTATTTTTAGTAATATTTGTGATCTTGGCTACCTCCCACTACCTTATTTCCAATACTAGTGTTTGGGATCAGTGTGTAGACTGTGCTTATTAAAATTATTGTATGTTTGTGATTAAAGTATCAGATTGATGCAAAGTTTGTGGCTTGAAAACATTATTGAGACAGGAATGATGATACCCTTAAAATATTAAATATAACTGTTTTGATTATATCTTCCTGTGCAACAAAGTACTCCAGAATTTAGTGAATTAAACTGATAAACATTTTATCTCTCATGCTTTTGTGGCTTGACTGGGTCAGCTGCGTAGCTAGTTATTCTGGGATGTATGAGGTTACCTGTGGCAACAGTCAGCTGTGGGGTCAGTGTCCAAGACATTCTGGTAGGAATGTCCAAGATAGTTTACTCATATGTCTGGCATCTTGGCAGGGTTGGCTGGAAGACTGTCTTCAGCTAGACACCAAGATAACCAGGCGTCTCTTTGTAGTCTTAGGGTTTCCCTGTTTCCATGTGACTTCACGTGGTTTCTCCAGCAAGTAATTAAAAGAGTTTTATTTTAGAGTTAAGGAAAAGTACTTGGAACCTCATACTTAAGTTCTTATTTGTCTTTCTTAGTTTTTGGACTCTGTGGGAGAGGCCATTTTGTGATTACTCTTAGCAGTGTTTTGGCAAGCTAAACAAAATGAGGAACCTAACTCACACTACTCCAAAGAATGTTAGAGCTCTTTTTATCTGATCAGACTCCTTTAATTTTAGTACTTTGGGGGCTAATGTATTCAGAGATTGCATATTTTGGTAATATCTCTATTCTAGAATCTTAGGTTATTACAGCATTTATTAGCAACATGTATCTATATATCTCTTTTTTTTTTTTTTTTTTTTTTTTTTTTTGAGACGGAGTCTTGCTCTGTCGCCTGAGCTGGAGTGCAGTGGCCGGATCTCAGCTCACTGCAAGCTCCGCCTCCCGGGTTTTAGGCCATTCTCCTGCCTCAGCCTCCCGAGTAGCTGGTACTACAGGCACCAGCCACCTCGCCTGGCTAGCTTTTTGTATTTTTTAGTAGAGACGGGGTTTCACCGTGTTAGCCAGGATGGTCTCGAACTCCTGACCTCATGATCCGCCCGTCTCAGCCTCCCAAAGTAGTGGGATCACTTGAGCATAGGACTTTGAGACCAGCCTGGGCAACATAGCGAAACCTCATCTTTAAAAAACCAATATTTAAGCTCTGACATTCTTTCTTCTGCTTGGTTCAGTCTACCAGTAAAGCTTTCAATTGTATTTTGAAATTCTTTGAGTTTTGAATTCTAGAAGCTCTGACTGATTTCCTTTTAAGATGTTTATCTCTTCAGTCATTGTGTGGATTGCTTTAGAAGATTCTTTGTGTCGGCTGGGCGCGGTGGCTCACGCGTGTAATCCCAGCACTTTGGGAGGCCGAGGCAGGCGGATCACCTGAGCTCAGGAGTTTGAGACCAGCTGGCCAACATGGCGAAACCCGTCTCTACTGAAAATACAAAAATTATCCGGGCATGGTGGCACGCGCCTGTAGTCCCAGCCACTAGGAAGGCTAAGGCACGAGGATCGCTTGAACCCAGGAGGTGGAGATTGCAGTGAGCCAAGATTGTGTCGCTGCACTACAGTCTGGGCGACAGAGTGAGACTCTGTCTCAAAAAAAAAAAAAAGTTTCTTTGTGTTGATTTTAAACCTCATTTTGGATCTTGTTGAGCTTCCTTATAGTCCGTGCTTTGAATTCTTTATCTGTCATTTCTGAGTCTCCATTTTGGTTAGGAACCATTGTTGGAGAGGTTGTGCAATTCTTTGATGGTGTCATTATATTCATATTTTTCATGGTGCCAGAATTCTTGCCCTGGTTCTTTCTCATCTGGAGACACTGGCACTTCTAATTTTAAAAATTATTTTTGTGTGAATAGGATTTTTTCTTTTTGTTTCTTTCCCTATGATATTGTTTTGTTTATTTGTTTTCTCTCTCTCCTCCTTAGGATGTGCAATAGTAGAGAATGCTGGGTAGGGACTTTGGCTTTGCTTCTGTAGCCCTATGCACACACTTTGGCAGGTTTTATATTCAGCTGTGCAGTTCAACCTACAAGCCAATAGATGGCACTTATAGGTAAAAGCCACCTGTGGCCAATGGGACTGAATATGTACTTGGTCCTTGTTTACTGGCAGAAGTCTCTGTTGCTTCAGGCAGTGGACTGATTCATGAAATATACAGTGGTCTGAGCTCCCTGCTCAGCCCCAGGGAAGTGGGGGCCATGATGGGCAGGGTGGACCATGCAGGTCTGCCTGTAGGTCCTCTAGTGCTGACACAAGCACCAGCACTGAGGGAGAGTATAGTAGGTGGCCATCAAGCACTCAGAGAGTACCTAGGTGTGGAGATGGGAAACCTCCTTGGCCCCAAATTCTCTGCATATGAATGGTGGGATTGAGGGTGGCCTAAATTCCTAATTCAGGAGATTGGGTACTCTAGACGCCTGGAGATCTGCCTGGGCATGTAGTGGGGAAGGGCCCCTTTGCACCAGGATTTATGTACAAGAGGGGTGGGGCAACTCAGGCTGCCGAACAAGGCAAGCAGGTGCTCTGAATGCCTGGAGATCTGCTTGGGTGTAGCAGAGAGGGCTTCCCTGCACCAGGATCTCTGAGCAGTAAGGGTGGGGCAGCTCAGGCGGCTGATCCAGATGAACTAGAACTCCAAATGCCTGGAGATCTACCTGGGCGTGGAGTGGAGAGGGTCTTGCTGCACCATGGTCAATGACCATAAAGGATGGGATGGCACAGGCTGCTGATCTAGGCAAGCAGATGCCCCATATGCCTGAATTTCTGCTTGGGGGTGGAATGGAGAGGACCCTGCTGCATCTTGATCTCAGGGAAGCAGGCTGGGGCATCCAGCAATGGCACATGCAGACTGGTTCCAGGTCACCAAGCTGGCCCTGGCTGCCAGTCTCATTGCCCTGGAGAAACCGCAGTTGTAGCAATTCTCCCACCACAGGCTTGTGACAGGGTAAATCACACTTCAAGCACCTACTGTTAATGTGCTTTCCACAGTTCTGGCTGTGGAGGCCTCTACCCTGCTTCAGAACAGGTACTCCGATTTCTGGTTCAACACTAAAATGCCTATATGGTCATGCTGCCAGGTTGCCAAAGAATGGCTTTGTATACACCTGGATTAAAAATGACATTCTGCTTTTGGGCCTCGGCCTGGAAAACTGTATGCATCTTTTCCTGGTGTCTTTTTCTCACAGTATCTCCAAGCCTCTCCCCAATTTAACTCCAGTGCTTGGGTGAAGCAGAGTACTTTCCCTTGGCCTGACTTGCTTAGATCCCCAGTGGAAAGGTAAGTTACAGAGGGAGATTCTCTGCCTCTTGCACGTACTAGGGCTTCACTCACTTTTATCAGCTGGACACTGTCACAGGAGTTGTTTGCTAGTATTTTCCTCCCTGGGATCTGAGGTTTCTTCACAATTCTGGTGGATTTGTATTTTCCTTCTTGAATTAAAGCTCAGAGAGTTGATCTTTATGCATGATCTTGCTGTTTCCAAATGGCTAAGGCATGCTAATAGCCTCCAATCTGCCAATTTCTGAATTCTTCATTCTAAGTACTAGTCCTTCTTTCAATATACGTAGCCTGCGTTTTTGTTTTCTTTTCTTTTTTTTTTTTTTTTTTTTTTGAGACGGAGTCTTGCTCTGTAGCCCGGACTGGAGTGCAGTGACCAGATCTCGGCTCACTGCAAGCTCCGCCTCCCGGGTTTACGCCATTCTCCTGCCTCAGCCTCCGGAGTAGCTG